GACGGTGAACACCAGGTGGCAGATCACACGGGGCCATCTTATCTACCAGTTGGTTTTCAAAGGAAATGGTTATTAAATGGAAGTTAGTAAAACCCTTATCATCTGTGAAACTGGCCCACCAACCAAAAGCAGTTTTTGCTGGTTGAATCACATTCATATTTGATCCATTCCCATCATGACTCTATGAATTTAGGTCACATTTTCTTTGGGATCTCCATCCTGTTTGACCAGAGCCCACATATTCTTCTCCATCAGCTCTTCTGCTAGAACTCCAAGTTCTACTGGGCTGCCTTGAGTTTGGGGATCAGACTTTCCCGCAGGCATGGACAGCCCAAGTCATTCCTTCTGAGAACAGAAAAGAGTCAACAGGAATAGGTCACAAGAAACTGGCAGAACCTTAAAACGTTCAAGCCAGAAAGGACACACAAGAGACCACTGAGTTCTCAACCAACTTCTCTTTCCAACCCTGAGCAAACGCCCCAGCCTTCTCCATGGCCTCCCATGCCTTCAGATGCCTTCCTTACAGTTCTCTCTCCCCATATGAGATGATCCTTTTATCAACCAGCTACAGCTGTGAAACAGACAACCGTGATGCCTCAATGACGTGCAAGAATAGACATCATTTCTCATTCGTGTGTCTGCAGCTTGGCTGGAGCAGTCTGAGCCCCATATGGATGTTCCGTGGGTCATGTAGGAAAGCTCTGCTCCCATGTCTCATTTTTCTGGGGGCAATGGACCTACTGGAGGTTTATTCTGCTTATACAAATGGCAAAAGCACAAGAGGGCAAGCCCTACCGCTCAAGCACATTCCCCGCCTTTGCACGTGTCACGTCTGCTAATATCTCATTGGCCAAAACCAGTCACATGGCTTAACTCAAGGCCAAGGGGGTAAGTATGCTCTCCTAGCCAGGAGATTATAGTTGCAGTGTGGATATATACTACTATATAGCGGGGTGAAGAATTGGGACCCAGAACTCATTTGAACACACTCTTACTTTTCCCCCACACCATGTTGAGGATTCAGACTTATTACTGAAACACCAGGAGTGGGGATACAGTGGGTATAAGGCAGGTTTCTGCCTCCAGTCTTCCTGGGGAGACAGGTGTATATTTGAAGAGAGAAAACTAAGAGGTGCAAGTAGCAGGTGAATTGCACAGGTAGGTGGGGCTCCGGAGAAGGTTTGGAAACAAATGAGAGATGCAATCAATCATTCCTTTCTCTGGGTCCTAGAGAGGCATCTTGGTGTCTGGCCAGGTTCTTCCTCGTGTGGGGCATGCCCCACCAGAAGGCAAATGGGAGGTGATTTTTGGAGGAGGAGGCATTGCCCAGCCTTGAATCATGGAGTGAGAGCGTAATTCCCTTTTCCAACGATCTTGCCATAGTTCTGATTTAGAAGAAGGAGAAAGTCTCCTTCTGTGCTAGCGTGAGTCTAACACCCATCTTACTCTCGTTGATCTCCCTTTTTAATAGATCCTAAACCTCAGGTTCACGGACTCTCTCAAGCAGCAGTGTCTGGTTAGAATGTACTCACACTGTTTTCTCTGGGTAATGCTTATATCTGTAAGTTAAAGAAAAATCTTAAGCGAATACTAGTTCAGGCGGCTAGTGGGTATGGTAGAAATTATGGCTTGACCCTGGTGAGCATTTTGTAAATAGGGATATAGCGGGAAGAGGAGAGGGGGGTTTGCCACAGTCAGTCTGACTTCGAATCCACACTCCATCCCTTGAATAGGGCCTTTGGGCGAGTTACTTAGGTAGCCTCTCTGAACCTTGGTTCCTTCATGGATTGTTGTGTTATATTGATGACAGTATTTGTAAGGTAACTGGCACGGAGCGAGGGCTCAGCAAATGGCAGAAATCCACCTGCTGCAGCCTCTACCTGGACTGTCCATTCTGGGACAGACTTTTGGGTCTTCTCTGTCCTCCAGGCGGCCATGGGCCAGGCAGGCATCACTGTCCCTGCTGGTGGGAGGGCCCTGCATGGCCTCCTCTGCAGCAGCCAGACCTCACTTTCCTCCCCTTTTCTGTGGGGTCTCAGTTCAAATGAACACCTTCCTACCCCCTCTCCAGCCCTACGAAGAATCTCTTGCTTGGGCGATGAAAGTCTTGATTAGCCATAGAATTTCAAAATTGAAAGAGATGTGGCAGGTCAGACACTAGGCCAGCTGGGGAGCCTCAAGATGGGGCGTGGGGTGGCCCTTTGGAAGGGGCCTCAAATCGCCTAAGGATTTCTAATTTAGACCCAAGGAGGCTCTCCCCTTGCAGACTTCCCCAACAGGATTGAAAAAAGACGCATCAGAAAGTTTAAGCATGGCGTCCCAGCCAGACAAGCTACTGCATAATGTTAGCATTTCTTAAAAGGGTTTCTAATTCTTTTGTTAGTGGCACGAGTCCATCGCCTTATATTTTGGGATGTGTGCAAATAACATCAATGTGTTCAATTAAAAGCTTAAAATATACTGTAATATGCTGTGGTCCTGTTTTGGAATTGCTTCAGTGTTTCAATACGGTGAATCCTCCCTCCCTACTCCACAACCCCACAGATGGGGCTCAGGCCCCTCTGGCCTTTTCTCCCATCCCATAAGAACCTCCAGGGCAGATCAGCCCTCTCAGTTCCCAGATGGGGAAACTGAGGCTGGAGAGAAAGACATTTCCTTGTCTTTTGATGTCATTGCCAGGGACAGTAAATTCCAGGACTGCAGGGTCAAAAGATATGGGTGGTGGTTTGTGTGAGTCAGACCCTGGAGGAGTCCTGAGACTGCGTCCCAGGTTGCCCTGCCACCTCCCACCAAGGCCAGGGACTCTATGTCGGAAAATAAAAATAACCATAGCTAAGATTAACTGAGCACTTACTATGTACCGGGCACTGCGCAGGTATGACACTTTCAGGCCTTACAACAACCCAAGGAAAAAGGTCCTATTGTGACTTCCATTTCCAGAAGGGGATACTGAGGCAGGCAAAAATTAAGGAGATCACTAAGTTAAGAAAAGTGCCAGGGAAGGGGTTCTGAAGTAGGCAGTCGGATTCCTGAACACGCGTCCTTAACCCTTACCGGAAGGGAAGGGAAGAACGGAGGCGGGGGGGGGGGGGGGGAGGGGAAATGCAGAGTCATTGTTCAGTGGGTATATGGTTTCAGTTTTGCAAGATCAAAAGAGTTCTGGAAACTGGTTGCACGACAGCGTCAATATACT